TTCGTTTTTGAAACGCTCTTCTGTTCCCTCCCCACCGAGTAGCCGTGTCTCAAAGGGAGTTGATCACGTAGTTCAATACTGAGAGCTCGGATACCGTAGCACCAATCTCCATTTTTTCGTCAGGTTTTATCTTGACTCTTATGTTAGACAAGAATTCATGAACAATGGAAGAATTCGGGTTTGATGAAATTTTTTGTTTCTTTTTCGCAGAGGAATTGGCTTCATATCTTGGCCAGGAAACAACCCGAGAAGGGGTTCAACGTGTATTTGATCTCCTTCAACAGCCTTGTCTGAATAGACGTCTGGTCCACTGTCTCCTTGAAGGTGTCATCCGTCTCCTTTTAGCCGATCAAACTACACGGTTGAATGAAATCTATGCTCAGGATTACAGTCGGCATTCTAGATAAACATCTACCCCCCCCCCTCCCACCCACCCCACTCTTCCCCTGTATTCTAAAATTTTGTACACTTTGTCTTGATCGCTCCTCCTTCTCCTCATAGCTCCCGCGTAATTTATTTTTCCGTGGTTTATTAACTTTACTTTATACTCGTATAATCAGTTTTTAACTTTGTTTGCGAATAAAAAGGGATGTTTCCGATATGAGTCAAGGTCACTACATATCGACCTATAAGTGGCTATGAGGTTTTGTTCTATTTTTATCTCTCAAGCTCATCAATGAATGCTTATTCTACCTCTCAGCTTGGGTGGTGGGTTAGCATCTTGCTGAGGAATTTGAATTCTGACCTTGTATTAATTAGCTAACTTTGGTCAGTGTAGTTAGTCATTCCATTCCTTTGCCAAAACCATGATCTATGACTTCTAAGATGGGCATAATAACCGTTACATCACCCATGCACATGCTAACTTCGCCAATCGGATGAGAACTGGGGCTTTTAAATCTATACATCTTTACTTAGGCTCCAAGAATGGTACGTCAGGGGTTTTGCTCTTTTTTCGCTTACCTGGAGCGTAAACGTTGGGTGTGTGTTGATTTTAGAAGTGGTGCTTGTGACTTATTGGATATCGCTTGATGTGCTCACGAGTAGACGCAAGAAACATTACGTTGCATTTCTCATAGTAAAGAAACGCATTTCACCATTTTAAGTAGTAAAAATGAATCTAGATACGATGAGTTGTGACTAAAACTTAGATATTAGAGGAGACTTATTTAACTTCACTGTAGGAATAAAGAGATCCAAGATAATGACAAAAATTTGCTCCATTAGAATGCCTTTTGCTTGCTATGGTACAGCTTGGGGAGGGGGAGGGTCTAGTTCTGTCTCTAAGATTTATCCGTTAATTAGATATGCCCAGGCATCGGTTGACTCGAGCTAGGGGGTAAGGTAGGGGTGTAGTCAATTCAAACCCTTTTATCAATTAAACAAGGCCATTGCATTGGAATAAAAGTTATTTCGTGTTTCCGATGTTGGGAACGCAAAACACCACTGGAACCAAAACTACTTTAGGCCTAGGTGACTGTCAATCTGCCAGGAGTGATGCACCCACACTTGTCTTGCTAAGGCGGCGTGGAACTGGGCGAACAGCACATCCCTGTCAAAAAGAAATAACACTGCCTTCTATCCAGGTCATTTCCACAGCTTTCAGATCCTTTTGACCGTTGGATTGAAACAGAGATTAGCGATACCATTTCACTTCATTTGCGTCTTTTAACAACCAGATCCTAGCAGATAATATTGACATTCTTCATTTTTGAAACGTTTCCCCACTATTTGAATGTCCTGGAGGAATCTACCACAGCGACTTTTTCCAGCAAATACGGTTTGTCAGTGGTGATCTAATATCAAGAATCGAATAGCCTTCAGGCTTAAATTTTGAACGTTAGGGATAAATTTATTATTTACAAACTATAATAATATTTAAAAAAATCAAAGTGTTGGTGCAGGCGGAATCTAGTGTTTAATTTTTATAAGTAAATGAGAATAATCGATAAAACTTTCCCTCTAAAAGCAGGGATTCCACAATTATCAAACAAGAGATGGAAGTCGGCGAAGTCGAGACTTCACTTCTCCCCTCCCCCCTCCCTTGTGCTAGCAGCCGAATAGACTCTCGTGCAAAATAGAACAATGCAGATGAAATGGACGAAGACAAACGTGACGCAGCACTTTCCTGAAATTGCCGTTTGGTTGGTGTAGAATGTAGTGTGGATTTGTAGAAATATTAGCAAGTCTAAACTTTGACTATGCGGGGTGCGCGATTGCTTACCTCCATGTGATGTACCCTGGGCAACGTATTCTCATACGGCAAAAAAGTTTATTAACCGTCAGTTGACTTCTGACTTCATCTTCCCTTCTGTGAAGCCCGAAGTCAACTAAAGGGCTAATGATAACTATCAAAACGCCTGCCATTTGATATAAATAAATACTTTGACTATGTATGGTAGATCGAATAGAATCCAAAATCACATACTTACTCCTAAATGCAGGATATTGAGTAAGTTAATTTTTTAAAAAAAAGTATATTGAGATATAAACTGAACTTTCTGCTATCAAATTGCCATCTCACTCACGTTTTATTGGTTTTGCAGAGCTTGAACTAGATAGCTTAACACTTTGTGTTTCTTTCACCAACGACTTTTTGTTTAATACGCCACCGTTTAATGTTCCACTGCGCGGTTCTAGCTTTATAAATTTGGATAAAGTGTTACCACTTAATGCCTTGACACGGTTTACGCTGAGAAATCCCGCGCTAATTCTGATTGGTCAGTTCAGTGGACGTTCTCCCTACCAGGGCAATGAATTTTGAGGCAATAGGCTCATTGCAGACCGTGCAACTTCCCCATCCTCCCCAGAGCATTTATTTTCATCTAAACCCATATAATATGTTCACTGCTAATCAATGTCATAATTTAATTAAGCAAGACGAGAAAGATCGAATAAGCAATGTTAGATAGTAAACCAATTTAACTTCTTAACAACTGGCAAATATTTGTCCCACTAAGACGAAATTGCACATTTTGATTTGCGCTTGTTACTCAATTCTCCAGTAGTTTCATTACAACGAAGATTTAGTTAGCGACATTTTTATAGCCTCTGTGAAGGCATAAAATTTTGGGCCGTTATCTCGAGAAAAAAAAACGGTAAATGGTATGCAGGCCATTTATTTCCATCAATAGTTGCATGTAACTCTGAATATCCTCTGGCTTTATTATCGGGATTACCCAATCGCCTTCAGTCACATGATTTTTCATGTTCGCCAATCCTTTTTTTCCAATTAATTTCAATTCTTCTCAGTCTTACTACTTGTGGTCGTATTCTAATTGGTCGAAATAACTTTTCTTCGTCTCCCCCCCACCCCCTCCCCACTAACTCCCACTCTGCCTCGGCAATAGAACGTTGTAGAACCATGTGAACGTTCGCATCTCCGTTTAACACTGCAATTTTTATAAATCTGTAATTACTTGGACCGAAGAATGAGAAAGGTAGAAAACTTGGTGCTTAAATGACTGTGTTCATTGATAAAATGGTTTATTTATGCAGTGGAGTGGGAGGTGGGTGGATGGATGGAAGACTTACCTCAATGGGGTGCCTCCTGGCCAACGTATACTCATACGGCAAAAAAGTCTCGAAACCGGCAGTTGACTTCTGACTTCAAACTATCATGACCCTACTGAATGTCATAATCCACCACTTCCATAATACTCGCCTTACCGTACCTTTTTCTCTGCCTTTGTGTCTGTCTCTTTTACAGCTATGAATCAATCTTCTGTTCTTTCACATTTTACCAATTATAAGTTGTAAGACACAACTTATACAATGAGATGCAAGGCATTCAATTTTAAAATTTTTTTACTTAGAAAAGTGAAATTCATAAATTTTTTTGTGTTGAAATATTTGAGAACGATTGGTAGTGCGTAGAATGTCACAAAGGTCTATAATCTCTCCATCATGGAGGCTTGTATTGATTAAAATTGGCGTTTTATTTGATCGAGTTTCGATTAATTACAATGTGATTAAAAGCCTCTAACCTACCTACTCGTGGTTGTAAGTATGGAAAATATTGTGGGTTTGAAAGCTTTTACCTTCTCGCCACCCCCTCCCCTCCCCCCCGCCCCATCCCCCTCCTTTCTCGGCCTTCGGTGTAGAAATCACTGACCAGCTGGTCATTGACCAGTAGACATCGTTGATATGAATTTGAATTTTGGAGAAAGAAGTAGCTCCCTCTATGGGAAAAGTTGTTTTTTTTTTCTAAGTCTATACCCGATTTTCATGCCCACCATTTTGTTGTTTTATTCAACCTTGCAAAGTGCGTTCCTTTTACCTCTCCCAGGTCATTCATATTATTATACTTTGGTGGTCTCGTGATTAAAAGTATCCTAGTACGTGGTGAGTATTGAGAATTCATCTGACGCATTGCACTCTTATAATCGCCTTTTCTTCATATATAGAACTCAGTAGTGGCTTTACTTCAATGATTTAACTGCAGATATATATATATATATATATATATATATATGAAATCTTTAAAACTGGCAAAAGAATAGAGACATAGGTCTAACGGAATGCAGCGGACTTCTGGACTGGACTAATCGCGCTCTCGCTCACGAATGAAAAAAATTATTCTGATTTGTTACGGTGGGTATTCATGTAATACGACATCAGTTGACCTTGAAAAGCTGCATGTAATGATGAATGAGATGCGCTTTACATTCAAAAGTAACGAAGACCTAAGTTAAAATGGTGTGTTGAAATGAAAATTCTCATGATCGCCTGCGCATACGCGTGGTCATCCAGTGAATTAAGCGATAAGCCCTAGCTGATAACAATTTTCGTGTGCCTCTCTGTGGTGGCCCGTGACGATAGAATTAGCAGTAATTGGAAATAGAGAGTGAGAGAGGTAAGACGTCAGCTCAGAACAATGGAATATCAAATGACAAAGCATAAATTAAGTTGACAAAAACAACTAAGAAAATTGGGTAATGGCATACCACTCGAGGATGCGGAAGAAGACTCATGGGACAGTTCAGGCCTGAGCAAATTGGTTCATAACACAACACTAGAAAGTTCGAAACAAGGAATTTCGAACATTCTAGAATGTGTGCTCACGTGCAGTTGATTGCGTTAGAGAGTCAGTGGGGCCTCGAGGCCACTGAACTCCCAACACATCAGCAATCACTAGTTTTCCCGGAGGGTCAGCGCACCCAAAACCGTTTTAATCATCAAGCTCAATGCCCATGAAATCGCAATCCAAATAAACGCATCCCGATCATAAGCTCTATCTCCTTGGTACTGATGAGGTAGCTTAGCAAATTTATTTATTTATTTCAAATGACAGGCATTTTGATAGTTGTCATTAGCCCTTTAGTTGACTTCGGGGTTCACAGAGAGGAGGAGGAACATCAAAGTTACAAAAAGTCGAGAGGAAGAGGGGGGGACAGAATAATGATTC